CAGAATTTAATCCAATTTGTGCTCCCCCCAGCCATGTGGACTGTTTTCATATATTTTAGCCAGTATAGTGCTGTCTAACATTTTGATCTTTGTTCATCTGTTAAGTAAAAAATGGTATCTTATTGGAACATATGTTTTTAATTTTGGTGAAATTCATCTTACCAGTGATTTTTATTTATAGTTCATGGTTCTTTGTTTAATCAGGATCACAAAGTTTTTTTCTTGTGTCTTCTGAAAGTTTTATAGGTTTACATATTTAGATCTCTGATCCATTTTAAGTTAACATTTGTATATAGTGCAAGGTATGAATTGAAAACTGTATCCATTTAGATATTTAATTGTATTAACACCATTTTTTCAAAGATTATTTTTTCTCCATTAAATTGCCTTTGTATCTTTGTTGAAATTGAATTGATTGTATATGTGTGGGTCTGTTTCTGAATTCTTAATCTGTTCCTTTAACGTGTTTATCCTTTCCCCAATACTACAGTGTCTTGACTATTGAAATAATTATTGTAATCTGGTAATACAGATTCTCTAACTTTGTTCTTTTTCAAAGTTGTTTTGGTTATTCTGGTTTTTGTTTTGTTTTGTTTTTTTCTGTCTCTTGTAATAGTAGAGTGGCACAGGAGGATAGGCTGGATTCATTCAGCTTCTGTTTTTACTCCCAAGGGTATGGAGATAATCCAGGGTTATAACTTTTGTTCTGCCTGATTCTCTGTCAACTGACTTTTGCCAAAATGAAAAGAATCAGACTGGTTTGGTCTTGTTTATCCTTCTGTTGAGGTACCTTCCCAGTGTTTTTCATTTGGACAAGAAAGTGCCTTTCTATAGATTTAAAAATTTCAAACTATTGAAAACTTTTCTGAGATTTTTTTTTTTAAACTTCAGATAACTGCTGTAAAAGCATCTAGCTTTTCACTTTTCTGCCACAGGGTGGTGTACTATACCTACTGTCTGAAGTTGGTGACTTTCTTCAACAGCCTGATCAAACCCAACTTAAGATAAAATAGAATGTTATAATAAAAGTTTACTTTGTGCACTAAAATAAATTATTTATAACAGCAGATAGTTTTTATAGAGAGGTACACGGTTTTACTTAAAAGGGCTTTAAGGGGCTTTCACAGGGAAGGCAGTTTTTGTTACATGATTAATTTAAAAATTTATTTGGAAATACTTTCAGACTTATTATAATGTTGCAAAAATAAGAATAGTACAAGCAACATCCATATATTTCTTATTTAAATTTACCCATTATTAACATTCTGTCACATTTGCATACTTTCTCTTTAGACATGTGGGTGTTTTTTTTTTATGAAACATTTGAGGCTAAGTTACATGTATCATGACACATTTCCCCTAAATGCTACATTGTGTTTTTCCAATTGATAGTGATGTTCTATTATATAACCATAACACAGTATCAACATCAATGAATTTAACATTGATACAATACTTTTTATCTGATACCCCATTTGTCTTTTGACTCCATAATGTCCTTGATAACATTTTCCCTGCCAGTTCAACAGTGTCAGGTCAGTTATAACATTTAATTGTCTTGGCTCTTTAGCCTCCTTTAACCGGGACTATTTCCATGGCCTTTGTCTTTTATAACATTGACATTGAATCCCCTTAATAGAACATTACTCATTTCCATTTTGGGTTTGTCTGGTGATTCCTCATAATATAGGTTATACATTCTCAGCTAGAACATTATATATGAAGTTGTGTCTTCCTTTTGCCTTATATACGTCCATCTTCCTTTTATTGGTGATGTTATATTTTGTTGAAGTCATTTTTTTTTTGTAAACTTAGATATATGTGTTTAGAAGAAGAATTAAATACCATTGAAGGATGTATAAAAGCAAACATTTTCTCTAAAGGAAGATACTTGGAAATAGACTAATGCTCCCAGTCGGAAAAATCTAATTTGACTGGAAGGCTTGAGGTAGCACATTTTAACTTTATTCCTTACATGGCTCTTAATGTGGTATATTGGCATTTAATCTGTCCCTGGATTGCCAAGGAGAATTGTTGATATCCTCCTTGGGATTTGCCAGTCATTCTGGTGAAAGAATAAAATCTGAGTAGGTGACATTAGAAATATAAAACGCTGTCATCTATTTTAAGATGTCATAATTAATACCAAAGTTAAACAATTTTGTAGTCTCTGAGTTTGTGCTTGTATTAGTGAAGTTTTAATACAAAACAAACATGTAACTGCCAGATATGCTGACTGGAAAGAATATTGTAAACTTCTTAAAGAAATGATCGCAAATCTTTTTTTAAGTCCTTTCGTTGTTTGAGGGATATGTTAACTGTTCACCCCGATAGACATCATTTTGTGAGCAGGAAAATTTCCTAAATATTTCTAGTATGTTAGCCTTAGGATGTGTGTAAAAATTCTCAGAAGCCCAGGTGTGGTGGCTCATGCCTGCACTCATTCCAGCACTTTGGGAGGCTGAGGCAGGAGGATCACTTCAGGCCAAGAGTTTGAGACCAACTTGGGCATCATAGTGAGACCTCATCTCTAAAAAATATTTTTTTGAAAATTAGCTCGGTGTGCGTGTAGTCCTGGGAGGACTTGGGAGGTTGAGGCCAGAGGATTGCTTGAGCCCGGGATTTGGAGGTTGCAGTGAGCTATGATTGCGCCATTGCACGCCAGCCTGAGCAGTAGAGCGAGACCCTATCTCCCCCAAAAATAAATAAATAAATAAATTCTCAGAAGGTAATAGATAACCTGTTTTGAAGAAAATAGTTGCATATCTCATTTGAATATTTACAATTAATTTGTTTTGTGTGTGTGTGTGTTTTCTTTATTTTCATGTCTCTTCTTTCCCTACTAGTTACATAGTAATTAACTAGTGATCATCCCCATTTCACAAAAGAATTAAAACACAAAATAAGAATAAAACCCCAACGTGGATACATTCTAGATTTTTTAGCCTGAATCAGGGTTACCTGTTCTGACAACATCAATGTAATTTAGGTTATTAAATGATTAACAGTAATTTTAATTTATCAATCACAGTTAAAATAGTACTCTTATTTCCCGTTGATTTATTTAATTTTCTTTACTAAAGCTTTATCCTTTATTTTTCAAGACATTTTGACAAATCAGATGAACACTTACCCGGGTGCCTTAAAATAATCATGAACCTGAAAAATAACATGTGTTTTCTTTGTTTTCTGTAATGTATTTCCATAGGAAGTTTTCTTCCAAGGAAACCTTGAGTTTATTAAGCTGGAACTTCTCTTTCTGATGTTGGTAGCAGTAGGGGACAGTGGGCTTGACTAACAGGGAGTGAGAAGCATTATTTAATTTAATTAATTAGTTAATTTTATTTCAAAGTATTATGGGGGTACAAGTGTTTCAGGTTATAAGGATTTCTTTTGTAATGCTTGAGTCAGGGTTATAAGTGTGTCCGTCACCCAGATAGTGTTCATTGTACGTGTTAGGTAGGTTTTTGCCCATCCCTACCATCCCTCTACTTCCTGATTGATTTCAGTTGAGTTATGCTTCCCTCTATGCACATGTGTGCTCATCAGTTACTTCCATCAGTTACTTCCACTTTAATAACGACTACATGTGGTGTTTGTTTTTCCATTCTTTAGACACTTCACTTAGAAGAATGATCTCCAGGTCCAACCAGATTGTTGCAAAAGGCATTAAGTCATCCTTCTTCATGTCTAAGTAGTACTCCGTGGTGTACACATAACACATTTTGTTAATCCATTCATGGATTGAAGGGCACTTAGATTGATTCCACATCTTTGCAATTATGAATTGTGCTCCAATAAACATTTGAGTGCCTGTGTCTTTATAATAAAATGACTTCTTTTCCTTTGGGTAAATACCCAGTAGTGGGGTTGCTGGATCGAGTGGTGGGTCTTTTAGTTCTTTAAGGAATCTCCATACTGTTTTCCATAGAGGTTGTACTAATTTGCAGTCCCAGCAACAGTGTATGAGCATTCCTTTCTGTCTGCATCCACGCTAGCATTGAGGCTTTGATTTGACTCTCAGCTTGACTGTTATAGGAATGTGTACAGGAATACTACTGATTTGTATGCATTGATTTTGTAACCTGAGACTTTGCTGAATTTATTTATCAATTTCAGGATTCTCTTGGTGGAATCTTTGGGATTTTCTAGATATAAGATCCTGTCGTCAGCAAAAATCGATAGTTTGACTTCCTTTTTTCTAATTTGGATACTCTTAATTTCATTCTCTTGCCTAATTGCTCTGGCTGGAACTTCCAGAACTATGTTGAATAAAAGTGCTGACAGTGGGCATCCTTGTCTTGTTCCAATTCTTAGTGGGAATGCTTTCAACTTTTTCCCATTCAGTATGATATCGGCTGTGGGAAGAATTAATTGCTTGACTTTTTCCTGCTGAAAAGTATTTGTAATATCAATATTAAGATGGTATAATGCTGTTTAAGAAAGACTATTAGTTTGCAGCTCTATTGCAGAACATAGTGAATTGAAACTTTTTTGCATGATCTTACATTTAATTGATTTACTTTGATTACATATATATATTACATAAAAATATGCATTTTCTACGTACTATAGGCATCAAAGCATTTGAGGTATGAAATTAAATGAATATAAAGTAATTTGAATGCCAAAATGCCCATCAAATTTAACAGTTGAACTTGAAAAAGTATTGGATACTGCCGTGAGTTGTGATTTCTCCCATCACCTACCCTGCTGAGTATTGGAAAGGAGAAAAAATTATTTCCATGTTCCTTTCAGATTTGCCCCTTCATTTTACAAAGAAGTATATTGCTTACATTCATAGTCGTTTGTGTCTGCTGCTTCTGCCACTTGTATACATGTTTCTGAGTTTCCAGAGTGTGCTAAAATGGTACCTTGGGGGTGTAGAAGAATTTAGTGTGTCTTCCCATATACGTAACTTAATTTTAGGAACCTGGGCAGTAAATATTATATGATTGAATATAGTTTTAAAAATTGATTTTATTTATTTTCTTCTTCAGGCAAGATATCTGTATAGATTCTACTTCATCCTTGAGAGAGAACAAGCAACCTGATGGTTTGGAATTAAAACAAGGTATGAATCAAGTACTTAATTCTTTTATCAAATTTACCTGAAGAATAGAATCATTTTACCAATAATAGATTTTCACAGTGTTCCAACTCACCTCATTTTATAGATAGAGGAACAGAGTGATTTATTTTGTCTAAGATCAAAAGAATGAAGAAGACTTTATTTCATGACTCCTTTATTAGAGTGGTTACATATACCTTGTGATGTATAGTTAGTTATAGATGCCACCAGAAAATTTTTGTCATCTTGAGTAGTTCTGTATCATTAATTTCTATTACATATCCTTAGCTGCAAGGTACTGCAGATATGTTAACTGGGTAGCTTTGAGTTGTATGTGGAAAAAAAAAAGACAAGTTTTATAGGATAAGTTTTTTTTCTTTTCTTTTTTTTTTTTTTTTGAGACAGAGTCTCACCCGCGTGCATGGGCTAGGGTGCCTTGGCATCAGCCTAGCTCACAGCAACCTCAAACTCCTGGGCTCAAGCAATCCTTCTGTCTCAGCCTCCCGAGTAGCTGGGACTACAGGCACGCGCCACCATGCCCGGCTAA